AGTACCAATGCTTCATAAAAAAATGTGATCATCACTTACTGTATATCTCAAACCCAAAGCTCTGTCAAGTGAAAGAGAGAGAGCACTGTGCCAAAGTATTTGTGGACAGTGTGCAGGAGTTTCTCTGTACTTTTTGGTAATTAAAAACAAGAAACTGCCAAATATTGGGTGCCTAGGGCTTTTCTTCTTCTTCTGTAGTATCGAAACAAGTTTTGATGTTGTTTGATTTTGATTAGAATCGTATCAAAGTTAAAGGTCTGGTATCATGACAACCCTTTATCACACAGTTTGTACCAGTGCAGAACACAAGACAGAAATATTCATATTCAGACGATTATCCAAATTATAATGCAAAAATAAGGGTACAGTTATTCTTGTCATGTCTGTCTGTCCATCAGTGGAGATGTTTCTGGCACCTGTATGAACCCCGCCAGAGCCTTCGGTCCAGCTGTGGTGAGCAACTACTGGACGTATCACTGGATCTACTGGGTGGGGCCCATCGCAGGGGGCGTCGTAGCAGCTGCACTGGTTCGGTAGGTGCAATTAAACAACACACATAAAGACTTTAAAAAAAACATAACACTCTAAAGAATACTTTTCTTAACCCTGTTTGGAAGGATTGTATTGATTATAAAGATAACTTCTTACAAAATAATTCACAAACTGTTTCCTCTTTTGTTGCAGACTTCTCCTCGGAGACAAGAAGATGCGAATTATTCTGAAGTGAGATCCTGTGTTTGAAAATAAATCCTGAGATTATCGTTTCATAGTTACAATTTGAAGCCCTTGTTTTGTTCACTGAGATGTTCTTTATTATTATTATTATTATTATTATTATTGTTATTCCTTGTTGTGGCTCAGTACGGAGAGGCCCTTCGAGAGAAAAGAGAAAAAGTAGACCGGTTGTTTGCAGAGGATGAGACACTGATTTGTGCCGCAGGCTGCAGATAAAAACATGGTTTAACTTTTCATGAATAAACTGCTCCTCTTTAAAATGCATGCTGTTATTTATTTTTTATTTTTTTCCTCAGGATCATAAAAATGTTGTTAAGTTGTCTTCAGAAGACAAGCTTTGTTATGCAGAGGTAAGGAGATGATCAGCCTACTATCAGAAACACAAAACAAATATTGTTTCCTCTTACTTTACTATTAATTCTTTTGAAATACTTTATGAGCCCTGAGGCAAAATCTGGTTTTTCACTCTGTTATTGAGAGACATGCTTCTCTCACACACACATATGTCCGAATCACACACATGAACAGGACCTGTTACCTGAACAACTTCCGTAATTTGGTGCGTGGGATTTGAACCGGTGACCCTCCTGTTCCCAACCCAAGTCCCTACAGTCTGAGCTACTGCTGCCCCTAATTTTGATAATGTTGCCTATTACATATTTCATATTTCAGAGTTGTCTTTATTATCCCTGCGAAAGGGCAATTTGTTTTGCAGTCAGCAGCAAAATACATACATACAGCCAGTAATCATCTTACATAAGAATGGACAATAAATAAATACAATGGATAACAAACAAAGAGATGTCAATCCTCTCAGATAGTCATGACGGTGATCTTGAAGGCTGAAATCATGTGATCAATAAACTAGAATCACATTTTGGAGTCCTTCAAAGTTTACTTCTGATTTTGTTTTCTCCTGATAAATAATCTTGTGTGTAGATAACGTCCCTTTTTATATTCTATTAAGGTAACAAAGAAGAAAAGTGTTGTTATCTAGCGATACCTAAATACATTATTATTATTTTCGAAATAAATATTGACGTTTCTCTTCAAGATACATCATTTAATATAACTTTTCCTGCCTAGTTTAGAGGAATAAATTCTGTTTTGTTTCACTGCTTTGTTTTGACCTCTTATAGTCATTTGTCAAAACTTTAGGGGAACCAACCAGGTGCAGCAGGTGCATAAGCGACACCATTGATACAAATGAAAATAGACCTTACCTTTTGGAGTGAGAGGAAGATTTATAATAGAGCTGAAGCTAAAATTCAATTACTTCAGATTCTCAACCACAAATGCTGCACACTTGTAAAAGGAGACCAAATGGCAACCTTTTCAGATCCAGGAGAGTCCTCTGCCTCAGCATTGTGTTGGTGCTACCCTGGGCCTGCTCTCTATAGCCGCAGCACTGAATGCCTGCTCGGCTCTGGAGGGTATCATGCTGTTTCCATATTGTACACCCGGGCCTCCCCGCAGCAGTAGCCCACATGGGAAAGCAGGCCAGGCGGTGGGATAAACCAATTACCCCCCAGTCTGGGTGGACTCCTGCCGGTGCACCATGCAGCGGCTCCAGGGCCGAGCCCTCCTGGCTTCGTTCCCCATGAGAGCCTGCTGGAATTCCCAGAGATGTGGATTGTGCTCACTCAAAAGCCTGCAGAGAGGCTATATTTTGCTTGGAAATTTGACATGGTGGCCCCCAGGGACAATACTGAGGGAGGAGACTTCAAACTGGGCTTCTGTCAGAAGAAGAAACGTTTTGCAAAGCTTGTTTTTTCTGTGAAATTTGTCAAAAGTAAATCTTTATTGCAACCTTTAACCATGTCTTACACGCAGGCACTTAAGGGTACACAAAGAAAAAGCTTTTTTGTAATAAATATCGATATTAAAGATTGAACTTAAAGTCACTGTGAGGAAGTTTTTAGCAGTTTGTGAAACAAAAAGTAAAAGTGATGCCTCTTTAGGAACTGTAGTGGAAAAATACTATCTGTCTGTTGTCTTTGTTTGACCTTAAAAGATTAGGATGTTCGTGCGTCATTTAGAACTTTACTATATGCAATAAAATACACAAAGACAGAAGACGTTGACTTGAGATCTTTCATTACCAACAGAAAAATCCACAACAGAACTCCAAAAGCAAACATTACCATCAATGACAATGTTGACTATTTTTATATATAGTAATTTCTCATGCCTGTGACCGCTGTAGGTGACGAGACAAATTACTGTTCCCTGAAGAAACAGCCTTTTGTTTCATTCTACATTGCAAATATTCATAAGGAGAGATATGTTTGCCTGTTTAAAGAAAGCAGAATGAAGTTTTCTATCAGATCTGTCAAAGGGATGAAGCATGGGTTATACTACTTCATTGAATCTACGCCTTAGCTTTGCCAGGGTGGCATACACCATCGTGAGCACTCCATAGTTGTGCACTTGTGTGTCCACAAAACTCTGCAAAACTCTGCCGACAAACGCTGGTCTGTGGTGCGATTTCGATGCTTGTTATATCGCCTCGTTCTCTGCTTGTACAGAAAAAAACATGGCGTCTGATGCCAGAAATGCTGCAAATGCAGGAAATATGATGCTACACAGAAGTCCAGCTTGAGGTTGTATTGTTTTGACATTTTTGAGGAGGTGCACATCAAGCTACATGCTTAGGCTTCTTTGTAGTCATAGGGCTATGGGGAACCTACAGTGTATGCAATGACACAAGACAAACTTTTCTCACAGGAGCTTTAAGATATCTTTGCATTTGTAAACTTTATAATTAATCTTTAAATTAGTAAGGCATGAAATACACTAGAGGCAGTATTGCAGGAACAGATAAAGGTTTTAATTGCTGAGATATATCGCCTGTTTATGGTTCTTTTTAGTGATGAAGTTTGAACTAAAATGAGAGTTAACACATGCATACAAAGAAGAGCCTGAGTGAGAAATCTGAGACATGACAAGAATAGAGCAGAAAACACAAACCCAGAGTATTCCCTGAGTGAGAGTTTAAGCAGGGATGGCCCCTCCTCTCGCCCCCTAAATTCATGAGCCCTGATGGTTTCTAGATGACAGCAGCCGTGACAATGGTCATTATGTCTGCCAGAGGCCTTGTCGCCGCGGGGTCATTGTGCGGGCCCCATTCAGCTCACAGTCATTTACACTTTCATTGGCAGCTATTTAGTCCTCATAAAAAGTTCAACACACCAATTTGTGAGCTCTGCTCAGCCAAGGAGAAGTGTGGAATAGGCTAAGAAAGCAGTTTCTTTAAAAGTCAATTAATTGTTCTCCTCTTCTGGGAGGGGCCGAGGGGGAGGATCCCCGAGCTTAAGGGGCCTCACATCTGTCCATTTGTCTTCCTGGGCTGTGATGCAGGGGCCACACCACGCAAAGGAAAACTCAGTCTTCTCAGAGATTTCACTGTTTTAGGGGATTTTGTATTTCATTTTATGGAAGGGATATCCTATTATCATAAGAATCTGATTCTGAGGAAAAGAGTGGCAGCAGAAGGAAACGGGCCAAAATAAGCTTGTAGGACATTTGAGCTCTGAATCCCATTCTCCTATAAAGAAACACATTATGCAGCATATGATGGGAAATAGGGGTGTGGGTCCATTTAAGGCTTTACAACAACGCCTATCAAGAAGACCACAGAGGGCAGCTAATGAAATTTAGATTTTTATGCACTCTTCATGAGCTCTGTTTTCTTCATCAGACGGCCACATGAACTGAACAGAGTCTCCATTAAAATAGAAATATATACCTGAACATTGTGATGGTTTTCAATGTAGTTTTATAGTGTTGCTTACACCAAAATACTTTTGATCTGTTGGCAAAGATTCTCTGTAAGAAAACACAATGTTTATATGCTATGATTTTTACAAGAATCATCTAAAAGTTAAAGGGTGAATGGAGATTAGGAAAATGTTCATAAGGTGGTACTTTTTTCTTGCAATAATGGGAAACTATGAATATTTAAAACATGACTCTTATGATGTAACAAGGAGCGTTGCAGATGTGATTGCATCTGTCATCAGAGCATTTTGCCTGAATTAAACCCATGTAGCCATTCATGCTTTAAAATAACATCAACCATACTGAATATTGAATGTATCTAAAGTCTGATATATATATATTACATGTTAATCACTTCCTAAATAGGAAGTGAAGTCAAACTCTCTCAGGATTTGTTGCTCTGTGTTCACATGGACGGGATGGCGCACAAGTATAGTGAAGCCTTCTGAGGATACATTTTTCATAATAAACCCAATAATACTTAATCTTGTGCAACATATTTTTATTTAAAGGGCATGTATAATGTACAAGACATAAATAGACAAAGCAGAGAGCACAGTGTAAACTTGAGCAAAGAGTCAGAATAAAGACTTCACCATCATATATTTACAAGCGTAATCACTTGGACAAACTGTTGATTGAGCCTCCCTCCGCAGTTCAAAGGGTCGTTCTCACACAGAGGCAGCAAAGTGAGCGGCGGTTGATGTGGTGGGAAGCACAAAGAGAGAGCAGAAACCCAACCCCTTCTCAGTCTCCCAGGACTGAGGGCAGTGATGGGAGGGGGGAGACAAAGGAGGGTCCTCAATGAGCCTCAGCGCAGGAGGCCCCGCTGTTTGCCCTGCTCTGCTCCCCTCAACCAGCTTCTTTCTTTAACCGCTGTTTCAAAAGCTGTGTCCCTGCTGGTGATTCTTGATGCCACCTTGCTGCCACATGACAAACATCAGAGGGGTCCCACGGTGCCAGCACAGGGGTGAGGGAGCCTGTGGACAAGTGCTCAGCGGTGCTAAAACAACCACACTTCCTCAGTCCAAAGGGAAGTCACAGGAATTCCGACGTGCCGCCCAGGCGGTCTGGTACACGGACAGGAAGTCTTTGTATCGCGGGGCACACCCTAACCAGGCTTCCCCAAAGTGTTCTGACCCTGTGAAGAGAAACTCCCCGTCCCCGGCCTTCACGTGGCACTGCAGCCGCGTGTGGATCTGTCCGCGCCAAATAGGGACTAATGGAGATGATTCCGAGTCAGACAGTTCCTGCTCAAACACTCCACTGCGCTGCCGGTACACCCGGGCTGCTGACACCTCCACCAAAGAGGTCTGACGTTCAGAGTGGTGGGAGACGTTCTTGATGGAGCCTCGGACCACTGCAACAACAAAGACTGGAGTCATGTCTTGAAAGTGCAAAAAAACATTCAGGAAGATTTCTGTTTACAACAAAGCGGATCAAACTTATCTCCTCAACTTTGAATGGACTTCCCAAGTGCGGGGATTGAGACACAGAAATTAAGCCCAGTTGACTTCCTAAGCTCCTGTCATATTAAAGCAGAAGTCAACCCAGTGTGCAGTTTCAGCCCACACCTGGTCGACCCTCACCAACTGACCAGAACAAAAGTTTAAAAAAATGTATCTCAGTATATTTTCCTGGCTATGATGGAAGATCCTGAATTTAATAACAAACAGTAATATCAAAAACTATTAAGAAGGTTCTCAACGGGTACATCTTCAGGACCCACCTCCAAATCCTTCATAAAAAACACTGATGCAAATTTCAATAATTTTCCAACCAATCAGATTCATTTAATGAAAAGTGCAGTATGAACCTCAGAGGGAACAAATCAAACATGCTCACAGACTTTTTGACACTTCTTTTCCAGGCACACATTTGCAACCCACTGAAACCAGCTCCACGACCCACCAATCAATCACTCAATCTTTATTTGTAAAGCACCAATTCATAACAAATGTTATCTTGAAAGAAACTTTACAAAAGGCAGATGAAGGCCGTACTCTTCGCTATATTATAAAGAAAGTACTGATGGTAATCAGAATTTCCTTAAACCATTTGTCACCCAAGTTGAGATGACTTATCTAGAGAACATTATTTTACTCATCATTTTTAAAGAGAACCTTCAATTATAATCACAAAGATCTTTGTTTTGCTCTCTTTAGCGGCAATGAGCAAGAATTACGGGTCTGTTTTTAAGACCTCACTTGACCTGACTTCTAAGAGATCCACACAGTGTTTCCTGTCCTTCAGTTGTCTAGTATCCCTGGGTGCATTCAATAGCAATACAATAGGTTTGTCCAATCCAGTAACAAGTTGCGTCATGTTTTCACACTTGTACCATTTATTTAGTTGCTCTCTAATATATCTCAGTAGGGATTTAAAATGTGCTCTCTCATTGTTTTTATTGAGTTAATATGATAGCGCAGAGCTTAGGTTTGTAAATGATAACTATACACAAAGTACCCACCGAAGTCACTGTTACAGATGGCCATGAGGAGTTCAGTATCATTGCAGGGTCGGCATGAAGCTGTGGGAAGAGAAAAGAAGCACAGATTGTTAAAATACACTTTAGGGAAATTTATAACAAAAAAAAAAACAGAATCTAATCATTTCAGCAGCTATACATTTGACATTTTCCTACATTTCTTCAACCATAGCCAGTCTCTATTAAACCATGACCCAAACTGACACTTTTGCACTAATGGGTGTCACCTCTCCTCCTAACCACTGACCTAAAATCTGGCTCCATTCACATCGAGGAGTTAAGAAACCAAGGTTAAAATGAAGGAATGCTGCCCCTTTGAGTCCTCTACCCATCACATCAAACGAGCCCTCGCTCGACTTGACCCCCATGTTTGACTTCTTTTGTATCTACCTAATTGAATGACCCTGTGCCAACGCTGGATACCGCAGGAGTCAAATTCTTCTGCCAGTCTGGCAATGCAGAAAAGATGAACCAGCAGATGTCTATTATAGACACAGGATGACATCAGCGCACTGGGAGAGGCCCGCACACATGGATAAATGCTAATAAACAGACACACACAATGTGAAGGCATCTGTGGAATCTTTAAAGTATTTGCAGACTCGATTCAGACCCCTCGGCCTGTTGCCCTTCAGCCGCCCTGAGGTCTGCTCTGCCCTCGCTGCTTTGTCCCCCGATGGAAACCAGACAGCCAGACAAAACACAAGAACTGACCAGCAGCTGCATTCTCCACTCAACATGATCACAGTCAGCCATTGACAATCCACAGATTTTTCTCCCCAGTAGGCCTGGTTTCTCCCTTGCTCAGTGGCAATTAATGCAAGCTAATGCATATCTTAAAAATGGTATTTGAAGTTTTAATGCCAGCCTTTGTAGAAGGTTTTTAATGCTACACTGAGAGGAACTCTCACTTCCTGTCAGTCTTGGTGACCCCTGTGGACAAAGCAATATCATTAATCTCTTTCTAACTATCTTGTCCTGACCTTTAAGAAGGGTTTCTGTCAAAATCTCATCCTACTAAAATGTTAATATGCAGTTTATTTCTTCATTAGACGGTGACAGCAGCAGCTACATGTTTTAAAATAATCTTCTCGCTGATGGTTTCACTTTTGTATGTCATAAAGAGGCATTCATTTTCATTCAAGTCTGTTTCCCAACCAGCTAAAACTTGATTTAAATAACTGCTTATACGTATGATATAAAACAGAAAGTGCACCTTTAGTTCTGTAAAAAGAAAATACCTTTTTATGTTGTTTTTTGTTCCTTCTCAATTCGGATACATATCCTTAATTATCATCTAATCTAAACCTTCCTAGATTACTAGAATTAATACCTACAATAATGAAATAATGAATAACTATAAAGCCTTTTATTGGTGGAAAAACTTACAAGTTATTGGATTGGATTGATACTGATAGCGACATCTGTATGGATATCGGTATCAGTGTCAGTATTAGAACAGCTCTAGTATAGCTATTCTTTCCTTTCGGTGACCATGCATTAATAGGTGACGTTGATCTGTAATAAATGCTTGATTGTTAGAAAGTTAATTTGGTCACTGGAAAGGCCTTCTCTTAAAAATAAGACTTCATAATGAATTCCTATTAAAGAGAGTTTCACAACCTGGCAACCCTGAAGTTGATCTGTAAAATTTAATTAATTTACGATGAATGCAGTTTTACAAATTCACTACAAAACCCACGAGGCTAATCAATAAAACACTGGTACAAAATGTCTAATGTAATGCCCTTCTGTTGGACTTCTGAACCTCAGAGAGACCGGGTCTACTCACTGTGAAGCGCGCCCAGGCCCAGGTTGTTTGCAGCACTTCTGTTACCCAGCAGCTCATATCTGAAGCCCATCATGCGTCTGCTCCAGGCTCCATCCTTCTGCGGACTGGACTGGAGGTAGAGAGCGGGCCTGTGAGGACCATCAGCCCGGAAACAGAACACCTGCCTCTGCTGCTCGGGCCTCCCGCCGTCCGTCACCAGCAGCTCCAGCTCCCCGGAGCGCTCGATGAAGACGCTGGCTCCGCGGAAGGAGGGAGACGGTTTGATGCAGACGGTGGTGCGCCGGGCGGTGGACAGGTTGGGCTCCAGGACCACACGGAGAGCCTGGCCCGGGTAAACCCACCTCACAGAGCCCTCTGTGCAGCGCAACCGAACCTGGAGCACGATCCTGGAGTCCACAGCAGCTGCAAAACCACTGGAAAAACACAGGTAGACTGTTCATGATTTAACAATAAGAGAGAGGTTTGCAAAATTCAAATTGGCCTATTGAGTGTGAATACCACTGACTTTATATTGTTAACTGATCACTGATCAGCTTTAAAGATCAGTTCTAAAGCCAATAAGAAGGAAAACTGTGTGGAAGATGCCATTTTTTTTTTTCAGAATATTTTCTATAATTGTTTAAACTGGTCTTATTGTTTCTCCCATGTTAGAAGTTATAACGTAATTACATTTGTCATCAAGTTTGCATTTAAGGTCCTAAATTAATTTAAAATGGATCATCTCTACAGATATTTTTGCAAAATCGAGTTTCCATAACATCCAAGTCAAATTCTTAACAGTAAAACAAGAACACGATTTATCAATGAAATTAAAATCAGTGTTCGATTTTAAACGACCAATTAGCACATCAATATTCAATTTAAAATTATCAGCACATCAATATCCAATTTACTAACTTAAGTTCCTTACCTGCCGGTCCAGTTGCACAGATCAGCAGCACAGAGCCTCAGCGGAACCCCCAACATGTACATGAAAATAATCACATTCGGCAACATCTCACCCACAAAGAAAGAAACACGCAGACAGGAGAGGACGACGGTGCATGGTGTGCAAGTTTGTCTGCGTTAGAGAGAGAGTGTGCAGGAGCGCTCTGCTGCACAGCTATATTGCCCCCCCCCCTCTCTCTCTCTCTATCTCTCTCTCTCATTAGGACTGATCCAGTTGTTGTGGGCTGCCCGCCTCTGCAGCCCTTTTTGTCTCTGCTCTCTGGAGACAGTCGGTATAAAGCCTGCAGCCATCTGTTAACACTTCTTTCATCCTCTTTTCAAACACTGTCCGTGGTCAATTACTTTTGTTCAATCGGCCTTTTAATTAGGTTTATCTTCTTCACCTCTTAACTGAATCTCCTCTCAAGAAAACTGAAAATATATCATGAGAAAAAAATATAAAATGTCCCTTTAATTGTACCTCTCGTCCTCGTCATAGCTCGTCATAAGTTATAGCCTAACTCTCTCTTGTAACAAGAATATTTTCAAAGCAGGTCAACTGGAAAAAAACAAAAAAAACTATATTGAAACATAAATGTATTCTTTCCCTAACTTTAGCTCCACCTAGTGGTGGGCTTCTGCAGCGCACCATCCCCACATCTGGAGGACAAAACGCAGTCTACTTGAGGTGTTCACGGCCCGAACTTAAAAAAAAAAAAAAAAAACCCAGTAGGGGCAACCTGTAACTCAACAGCATCTTATATAGCGCACGAAACTGGAATGCGTGACCAGCTTTCACTAATGATTAATCCACTGTGGATGTTTCACCTCATTTCAACCTGCAGGGGTCTTTGTGTGCCGGGGGGGAAAAAAAGAACAACTTGGCACCGTTTCAAGGTGTTTGCTGATGGCGACATCTTGTGGAGGTTGCAGACTCTGAGGACTGAAAGAGCAGCTTCTCTCCCTGCTGATATTCAGGCCCTCATGCAGAACCAGACCACAGGGGTAAGGTGCCTGATGCCTTTGCGTAAATTACGCTCATATGGAGAGTTCGGCCTGATGTTGTCTCAGCTGCAGGGGACACTTTCGCTGCTCAGGTCAATGAATCTTAAAGTTCTGGCGAGATTTTAATACAGATGCGCCACCAAAGCTATAAAGGAGGAATCATATTCACAAAAACATTTGAAAGAATTAATCCAAAATCAGCTATATGTTGTCTAAGAGGCCATGTTGCAATCTTTGGTTGATTGATCTTCCAGCAAAAGACAGAAATAAAATGTCGCTCCACTAACAACTCCAAATTGAGAAATGACCTTGTAAGCAATCTGACATTAAATTGGTGTGAGTCGTCCTCCGTTTAAAATGATGCCAGAGATCAGACGTCCTCTCAGGAGTACCGGGCGGTCACATTGGGTGCTGTGTCCCAGACAGACAAAGCAAAGTCACATGAATGGAGGCTTTGTGCGTGGATGAAGTGGCCTCTTATCGGCGCAGTGCAGCCGGGATCCTTCATGCGCTGCTGGAAGGCCTGTAGCGGAGCGAGGTGATGCAGAATGAGCTGTCAGAAAAAAACGAACGTCTCTATGGGCAAAATCACGGCCTCTGCGTTATCTGCTGCGCGTCACAGAGTGAGGGAAAAAAACTAATTATAATAAACCTACGTTCACTCAACTGGAAACGCGGGGTCACAGTTTGAGAAACACGTTTTTCATCGTTTCAGATAATGGCAGTAAGTCAACACTGTTTCAAATATTTAACTCTGTTTTAAATGAAAACCGACTCGTTCCTGGACTCGCTGTCAGCTTAAGGGCCTAACTCACCCTTTGAGCTCTTTCCGTCTCTAATGTGATCAGTCTGAGGTTATTCTAATAATAATAATTATCATCATGACGATGATGATGAAACGAAATCCTTCTAAGGTGTCGTAAAGATGACACATCTTCTTTCAGATGAAATATAGTCCATGAGCTTTTTAGCTCTAAAGAAATATACAATGAACAATTCAAAGGAAATCATTCAACCTGTATTCAGGGCCTCTTTGAATCCAAGCAGTGAGGTCACAGGAGCAGTGTGTGAAGATGTGCTGCTGTAAGTCTTTATTAACAAACCTCCAGATACAAGATAACAATAGAAACATTTTCTTGGGTGGTGTTTATTTCTGTTCTCCAAATCCGTGTTAGAATATTTCATACAAACATTATAAACTCCACAAGGAGGAATTATCAGCAAATTTTAGCCACTAAAAAAATGTAAAGCCTTTATAAAAATGACTAATTTTACGGCCTAATGCAGCGCTTTGGGACAGAGCTGTAGACAAGTTTAGACGTGTTCTTTTACGCATGGAGCATTTATTTAAATTCTTTAAAGATGGAGTTGGAGTACATTTTCCCACAATGGATTGATTCTATGGCATGATCCTGCAGTATACAGCAGACTAATTTTAAAATCATAAACTTCAGTTTTGGCACGTTTTCACCTCCATGCCAAAAGCTCTAGAATCTTCTGTGGCTCTTTTATAGAAAGATGAAAAACATGACTTTGGACAAGATTACAAAGTGACAAACTTTACAAAGTGGAGCAGTGTCATAATTTGTAGCGCACTTAAAAGACTGGCAACCACAAAAAACGACAAGCATGTTTATGATGAAGTTGTATAAGACAGAGAAAAAACATCCTTTTATGGATTTATAATCATAAAACAGAAGTGACGTAAACAGCGACAAACAGACGTTAAACTCATAATTTCATGTTTAATATTCTCAGCAGCGTCTTATATATCTGTATGTACATGTTTGACAGTCACATAGAAAAAATAAAGTGTTACAGACTTGTTTGTTAGTTTCTTGATTAACAGATATGTTGCTCATCTCTTCCCCCTGAAGAAGCCTTTGTCCGTGCTGCTCTCCCTCACCGTCACTGTCAGGAAGTTCATGGTCACGTCTGTCACCGTCACACTGTCCAAGCTGCTGAAACTGGGGGTCCAGGACGAGGCTGGGCGCGTGGACGGGTCGTGGCTGCTGGAGACGTCAGGCTGTTCCCGGGGCGGACATAACTCCCTCACCTGGTGGTGTCTCTGCTGTTCTGAAGAGGAGTGATTCGGCTTTTTCGGAGGAGGGACAAAACAACTAGTCCTGTGTACCCTCTGCTGGCTCGTGCGCACATCTGGCCTGTACGCGCAGCTGTACGACAGTCCCGCGTGCCTCTGCTCGCTGCTGGATTTGGGTGTTATTGTTGTCTTCTCCTGAAACCTCTTGGTCAGCTGCATTAGGCTGTGATCTGACGTCTCCCCTTGGTGATGATGATGATGATGATGAGGATGGTGTAATCGGCGGGAAAGTTTGGAGAAGCCACGAGACCCCGGCTCCTCCAGAGGCCTGCTCAATTTGACATCCGGCTCCCCTGACCCGTCTTCTTCATCATCATCCTCATCGTATTCCAAATGCGGTTTCGGTTTACGTCCTCTCTTTTTTGGGGCCCGTCCGGGTTCCTGGACTAACAGGGAAGCAGCAGGAGCCGGTTTGGGCCTCGTCTCCGGCTCCGGGAGCCGCACGTACACACTCTCCCCTCTGTTTACCGCGCTCGGTGGGAAGATTGTAGGAACCACGGCGCGTAAACCCTCCCGGGCCCTCGGTGTTATGACAGGCTCCGGGATGGGATAGGCAACCTGGATCCCTCTTGAGGCCTCTCCTCTGAACTCATACGCCTTTTCTTTGGCTTTGGCCTTGGCCTGAGGACAGAGAACACACGTCTGTGAGAGGAGGTTAAATATAGAAGGGTTCAAATGTAACCGAAGCTGGTGATCTGTTTGGTTTCAAAACACACATAAAAACGCATTTGTCTGGCACATTAAGAAGACATATTAAACATTTAAATTGTAGATCCACTGAGAACAACAAACAGTAAATGACAGATGTTCCTCTAGTTTCTATCAAAGTGTGAGTCACAATCAAACCGTTTAAAATATGGTGGCCGTATCTCTGTCATATGATGGAAAGTATTCATCCTCTGCACCTCTACTGAAAGGCGAGAAAAGGAAATGCAAATCAGAAGAATGCGCGTGCAAAAACATTCACCCACCTTTAAGAGGAAAGTCTCGGGTTTGGGTCCTCTCTTCTTCGGCCCGAACAGCTCCCTTTCGCGCTCCCTAAGGAAGAACACGCTTTACTTAAATTCTTTACAAAACATCAACAAATAATTGTTTTCATTTATTCATAACGAGATCGAAAATATGAATTCCCAACGGGCCAAACTCTACAATTTGAGTTATATTTTTCCCATTTCTGCAACATTTAAATTAAGAACACTTCAAATAAAATTGAATGATTTGCGTCTGAATAAAACAGATGTCTTATTTGCCAAAGGAAATGGCTTCACACTTTGCTACTATAAGAACTGAATGCGGAAAACTTTCGCTCCTCCGACACTTTTTAGAACTTGTTTTACGAAAACAAACGATGGACTGACTCATTCCTGGGCTGTTTGTCTAATTATCGAACACTTTCTCGTTGCACTAAGTGCGCGGAGATCGCCTCGTTTCCACATATGAGGCCTACTGCTGCGCTGTCAAACCCTCACCTCTCATCGAAGGCAGCGAAGAGTCGTGCGTCCAGAATGTTTTCCTCTGGCTCCCAGGTGCTGTACCTGCGTCACGACAGCGGAGAGAAGGTCTATTAGTGTCCGCACAGATAGCGGATCACGGGTCAGGGCGCACAACACGTGCGCTGTAACACTTTTATCAGCGGCAATCTCGCTGCGTGCTGCTGTAATTACAGACTACGTAGCGGACATTGACGCATGGGGAAACCCAGTCATTGCTAAAGCTAGTGGACTTGAATGCATGCAATCAGGCTGACGCTCGCACATAGACTGCTCTGTGGCGGTGCAAATGGTAAAGCAGAGGTCCAGTTAACGACACAAAGAAGGAATATGATTACAAATAATCCAAAAGCAGAAGAAACGAGTGTGAGGCGGTGCAGTTGTACGAGTGGCCAGGATGGAGCGCTGTCCTTCACAGCCTCGGATATTTTACTCACTTCTGAGACCAGCCCTTCCATTTCACGAGATATTCCCAGCGACCCTGCAAAATAGATCCGTAACACATCCACGTTATCAAAGGTTTTGCCAGTCGGCCTTGCACAAACACATTGTTGCGTAATAGGTGGGGACACAGCTTGAGGGTAAAAAAAGCAGTGAATACCCGTCTGATTCGCCGTTTAATGATGGACTCTGCTGCGAAGACGCTCTCACCAACAGCCGAGAGCTCCATGATTCAGCATGCACCCCCGCTTATTTCTGTCTCTTTTATTATTTTTGGCTTTCCCCGTGTCCTCTTCGGGTTGTTTTAATTCCGCACATCCCATAATACGCAATCTGGAGAGGACGTCATCACGTCTTTTTCTGTTGCCAGGCACCGCAGTCGGTAGGACGGATCGCCGTGGTGCACATTGGCTCAGTTGTTGCTACGTGCTCTGGGTTTGTGAGCGGAGGAGGAGGAGTCCCCGCTGCTGCTCTGGCTGCTGTACAGGAATGTCTGGCACAGGGAGACAGGCAGAGTCAGAGGCTCCCGGAGCGGATCCACGGACCCCCCCTGAGATCCCCGAGGGGTCCACAGAGTCCGAAAAAGGAAAAAAAAAAAGTTTAATTTAAACAGCATTAAAGTAATTAACCACAACACACAGGAGAATGTCAGTTTGAAGAAAAGCACACTGCCTACATCCTCACACAGCCATGAAACGGATGTGAATAAAAGTCTTTACACGTAAAATCACGAATAATTCGTCAATCAAATGTTAAGTAAAATCACAAATAGACTTCACTGTATAAAAAAGAACAAATAGACAGTATAAATGGTTAGATACCTGTCGGGTTTGAGGTAAAACCTTCGCACGGCTGGTCCTCCGGACGCTCACGGATTTTGATCTATTAAAGTTCATTAATTCTATATTTTTGTTTCTGTTCGTCAGAATCTTCTACAACAGATTCCCATGCAGGTTCAGTCGATACATGATCGCCATGTGGAATATTAATGCACAAAGGGTACCATGAGCGTTTCAGCTTTGTAGAGCCACCTACAACCGAATTTTTACGCATGAACATTTTGCGCACGCTGCGCCAATTAAAGCGGAATCTCCTGACGTCTGATGTCAGTTCTTAAGAGAGTGGATTGAGAATAAATGAAGAATACTTTTAGTGTTTCGATCCTTGCGATAATATAAAAGATTTTTTTCCTTCTTTGCTCTGAAAAATGATTGTCTGGAAACTGTTTGACAAATGTTGTGATTTTATTTATAAGACAAACAAAAAGACATTTAAAGCAAAATGTCTAAAACGAACGCTCTCATATCAAATATTACACTTCTATACAAACAATCGAATATTAAGATCATTTTGAAGCACAGTTTTTATTCATAGGGGATGAACAGTATTACTGAAGTCCTGGACAGTTAATGACATTCTTAAAGCATTGACATGAGATTTTTAAAAAGTGCACTGGACTTCACCCTGCAGGACTCACATTTAAAATTAGTCAGTATTTAGATTACATGTTTAAATATGAGGAGCTCTGTGTCAGTCCACACAAAACTAAGAACCAAATAAGTATTTAATTTAATAATATTTGGTGCACTTATAGAAGGAAAAAATTCTTCATTTAATTAAATGTAATCATCATCTTTGTTCATTCCTTTCTTCATTGATTTGTGTGATTAATTTATTAACCATAATTGCTGGGTTGAATTTCCACAAATGTCAACATTATCATCATTATTATTACCATCATTATTTTTGTTATTATTATTATTTCATTTTTTATTTTTGTATAATTATTCCTGTCCGGTATTAACCTTTAAAAAAGAGAGAAATATCTGTGATATTTAAACTGAACACGTTTATATTTCTGCAGTAAGTCTGGATTAATATATAAATAATAATAAAATGATTATTAATCCTCGGGAGTCAGGCTTTTTAAAGAATTAACTGAACAGTTTATTTTATTTTGAAAAATACGCGTAAATATTTGTTTTACACAAAAAGCTTTCATTTCCGCTGCTTGTCATTTTCTGTACATTTTTGGTGCATTTTTCCACAGTCCCCAACTTACAATTTAAAAATATAAATAAAAACATTTTCTATTCCAAACGATGATTTTTATCCCATATGTTTAACAGAGAAGAGAAACGTCATCAGTATGATCTCCACGAGGTCTTCTACCTGTCACAGCCTCGAGGCCATCATCCTCATCCTCCTGTCAGGCTGAGCTGAGCGGAAGGACAAATAGATCCCAGTCTCAATATAAATTCAATTCTTTGAAATGCTCTCAACAAACTCAGTAAAATAATGGAAATACATCTTCTTAATTATCTTCATTTTGTAAGATTCCAACTCTTTCATTTTTACCCACAGGGTTTAATTTAAAATGAGCACAAACACGCGTGACACCTGCGCAGAACAAGAGTTTTTACTCTCCTCAAACAATAATTTAGAGCTTCCAGTCCCAGCTTCAGTTTTCTGACCCCAAAGAGTTTGTTTGAACTGTTCGAGGAACAAAATGTAAAAGCACGCATCATGTGGCCACTGAGTCGATTTGAAAATATCTTTAACAGGTAACAGGCGACATGACGACACAAACCCTCCAATGATTAGATCATAATCCACTATGAATTATTTTAATATCAGATAAATCATTCTATATCTGTTCTTCTTCCTTTATAGACCTCTTTATTGCAATCTGAAATTCATTTATATTTGAGCGATTGTGCACATTGAATGACAGTCACAAAAGCCAACAGGGTTTTAATTGATGTGGGTTTTAATTTTAATTGTATAAATGAGATGTTGGATCATTTTGTTTGCGTAAAATGAAATGGCATCAGCAGCAGAAGCAGAAGGCGGTAAATCCTCCTGAAGCGCAGCAGCGTCTCTGAATCCTCGATCCTGTGACACACTGTGACTTCTATTCTCATTAATCAGCTGATTCCTGCTCTGCTGTCTGTCTGATGAAACTCTCCCCGCGTTGCAGCAGACAAAGGCGGGCGCGCCGCGGACAAAAGATGCGTTGTGGCTTTCGTCGAAATATGAACCACCATTTTGATAGTCATAGCCTGTAGACCGACATTTCCTGTTGGTGCTAGAATGGCTCTATAGCCTGCACGGTTCGCGCTCAGAAGGCAGCAGCTTCACACAGACTGAAGCTGCTGCTGCGGTTGTTCTCCATATTTGGCTGCGAGCCGATGAAAAAGTGTGCAAGGAGCCGAAATGGCGTCAGGCGCACATGAATAAACAGAGCATGGCTCTGTGAGAACATAACTGCCTCTCTGGTTTCTGGGCAACTGCCGCAGCTCGGCTCTCTGCGCGCTGTCCTACTTACCGGGCGACATTTTCTGCACAAGGTGGATCAGACAGAAAAAAAATAATAACCTCAAGCTTGAAAGTGTGAAGCCGTGTGGTTCCCGAGCTGCAGCTTTGAAATAGAAATCATCCTTTACGCACGGAGCAGCGCCTCTTATCTCTCACGTAACTATTTTAGTTTTTAGGTTAGATCTTTTTGTGTTGAACCGCTCATACAAAAAAATGTTCTTACAAAGATCCTCTGCTGGTTTTTACTTTATTGAATGTATTTGGTATGAAAAAAAAACACCAACTCAGCACAATTTATTTAATGGAAGAACCCATACCAATGTATGATCAAGTGTTATTGAATTTTATTTTCTATAGCAACAGGCCTCCTTGAAGCAGGACACACACACACACACACACACACACACACACACACACACACACACAAATGCACTCACGGAACCGTCTGTGCACACTGCTGCTGCTACTGTGCACGATGATAAAGAGGGAATGTGAAACATCACACTTAGTCTATAAATATGTCCCCCCACTCAACGATGTTTCGGTTTCTTACTGGTGCATGACTGACTGACTGACTGACTGACTGACTGCCGACTGACTGACTGACTGACTGACTGAGACACATAGTTGGTTCAAAGCCAAGATGAAAAGGCCCGGAGAGAGAGAGAGGCTTCATGCAGAGATGTGCGAGCTGTGCGGTTTGAAATTCCGCTCTTATCACCCGATAGTCAACTGAGTTTCTCGGCATAAGACGTGCGTCTTTGTGGAGTTAAACAATCCTCTGTGGGCCTGAGAAGTACATTTTTTGTCATAGTTCTGCCCCTTTATACACTCAAATTGGTTTGCCCATGCAACAATAGAAACATTTTCTTTAGTCTTCATTTTGTAACGCATTGTATGAATGAAGAGTTTTATTTGGGCGATATTAGATTTTGAAGTTATTACTTCATCGCTCACCTCCAAGACGAGATCCCAGAGAAGTAGAGGAGAGGGAATGTGTGGTTTTTCTGAGTGACAGTTAGTTTGTATGTCGGAAATAGATCGAATAAGGGCCTCGTATCACCATGTTCCTCTTGTGGCACATAGACTCCAGATTTAAGATCTGAAAAGGCATCACGCGTTGTCGGCCTCGAGATTGGAGACCGATTCTAGTTTTACGCGCTTTTAAGACAGAAACCCGCAGAGGTCACTCTCACACGAACATTGTAACTTAAACTAAGATCAGAGAGAATGGTTTGTACTTCAAAAAGTCTATAGACACACAGGAGAACTAATTCATCTGATCAAACTAGAATGAGAATTTATTATTTAAACAATTGAGTGACAAAGCAGCCGTGTATCTACACTTGAACACTTTTTACGCTGAAGGATTTATCTTTTTTTTTTAAATCCTTGTAGAGGTTTCTCTGTGTCTGCATTCTTTGCATCAGGCGAGTCCACAAAAAGATACCAAACACACACACATGCATATATGCACGCACGCACACACACAAACACACATTCCTTGGCCCTTCTGTCATTCAAAACATTCATCGGTCCGTCTCTCTATCGGCCTCAGATTCCAGCAAAACCATCCCTGTCTGTATTTTCAGAGCACATTCATGATCCTCCTACATTCTGAAAGAGGCCTGAACAACATTTTTTTCATTAAAGGTCAGCATACAGAAATCATTCCCAAAGCTGAGCTGTGCACAATTGTGTATCTGTGTCCCTCTAGATATGTTTTTTTTTCCATGTATGATAATGTAGGGAGAAGTGCTGAGTCATTATGACACAGCCCCAGTGTATTAAACCTGTTGCAGGCATTTAAATGACCTATTAAAGATGCTATCCACATTTTGTTGAACTCTACACACACACACACTCTCTCTCCTCATGGCTGAATATTTATCCTCCATGAACTCTTGCTTCTTGATAAAATCTAAGAATTACAGAATCCCTCCCCTGCCCTCCTCCAGTCATGTTGTGTGTTTACATTCCTGCTCGGGGTCAGAGCTGCAGCAGAAAAATAATGCATGTGTAAAGTTTTAATAATACAAGTGGCCGGTTGAGTTATGCAATACAGAGGGCCCTTTGTGCAGGAGCGATTGTGATTATGCAACTCGATCTGTTTTTCTATTCATGTTTCACAA